TGCTAGAGGTGGAGGTAAAGGTATTAGAGGTGGAGGTGCAGGTATTATTCTGGTTTGTAGTAGAGAAGCTTCGATTTTATTTTGCGCTGTATCTGGTCATGCTAGTGATTCTTTGAGTGCCCCTGTTATTGTGTCTACGCCGGTGGGTGATTCTATTGTGGTGGATCGTGTCCATTGTTCATTGTATAGTGGTTATTGGAGGTCTTGAGACTCGTTGCAGATTTGCTTCTCTGGACATGGATGATTTCGGTGTTATATTTGCTGATGGACGGGTTATCACCTTACCACACTATCTTGGACTATCACGCCAAGACTGTGACCTTAGCTTTACCGAGTTTGCTCGTTTAGAGTGGAGAGGGACTCCTGGTCATTCTACCCATAGTGTTATCTCTTATGTGAAGGCTTGACGTATGGTCGAGAAGGCGGGTGTTTGGCCTATTTGGCATATGTTCGTGATTTCTAGTGCTGGGGTTCCTTCCATAAATTTTGTGCCCGTTGTTCGTGAGTTTCCTGAGGTTTTCCCTTCAGACTTGCCGGGTATTGCCACCCGACAGGGATATTGACTTTTGCATTGATTTTGGCTCCGGGCACTCAGCCCATTTCTATTCCCTCCGTATCGTATGGCCCCGTTTGAGTTGAAAGAGTTTTAAAGAAGCAGTTTGCAAGACTTGCTTGAGAAGGGTTTCATTAGACCCAGTGTTTCGCCTTTGGGGTGCGCCGGTGTTATTTGTTAAGAAGGAAGGATGGGTAATGAGAATGTGTATTGTATTACCGGTAATTGAACAAAGTTACAATCATGAATAAGTATCCGCTGCCGAGGATTGATGATTTTGTTTATTCAGCTTCAGAGGTGCCAAGGTATTTTCAAAGATTGACTTGAGATCTGGCTATCACCAGTTGGGGATTAGGGCATCCGATGTCCCTAAGACAGCTTTCCGCACTCGGTACGGGCATTATGAGTTCTTGGTGATGTCATTCGGGTTGACAAATGCCCCAGAAGCTCTTATGGATTTGATTAACCGAGTGTTCAGGCCTTATTTGGATTCGTTCGTCATAGTCTTCATGATGATATTTTGATATTATTCCCGCAGCCGGAGGAGCACGAGCAGCATCTTAAAGTGGTTCTTCAGACTTTGAGGAATAGTTGGTTGTATGCTAAGTTCTTGAAAGTGTTGAGTTCTGGTTGAGTTCAGTTTCATTTCTGGGCCATGTTGTATCGGTAGAGGGTATTCAGGTGGATCCGAAGAAGATTGAGGCAGTCAAGAAACTGGCCTAGACCAGCATCAGCTACAGAGATTCGGAGTTTCTTAGGATTGCAGGCTACTATCGTCGGTTCGTGGAGGGTTTTCATCTATTGCAGCCCGATGACCAGGTTGACCCAGAAGGGTGCCCAGTTCAGATGGTCGGACGAGTGTGAGGCGAGCTTTCAGAAGCTCAAGATAGCTCTGACTACGCACCGATGTTGGTATTGCCCACAGGTTCCGGGCCCTTATGCAGTTTATTGTGATGCATCTCGTATTGACTTGGTGCAGTGTTTGATGTAGGATGGCAAAGTCATTGCCTACGCTTCGCGGTAGTTGAAGATCCATGAGAAGAACTATCTGGTTCATTGATTTGGAGTTAGCACCCATTGTCCACGGCGTTGAAAGATCTGGAGGCATTATCTGTATGGCGTGGCATTGTTGAGTGTTCACGGATCACAAAAGTTTTCAATGTTTGTTCGACCAAAAGGAGTTGAATTTGCGGTATGAGGAGAGTGGTTGGAGTTGTTGAAGGATTATGATATCACTATCTTATATCATCCGGGAAAGGCCAATGTGTGTGGCCGATGCTTGGAGTAGGAAGTCAGCCGGTATGGGCAGTCTTTGCTTATATTCCGGTCGGTGAGAGACCGGTTGCTTTGGATGTTCAGTCTTTGGCCAATCAGTTGTGAGTTGGATGTTTCTGAGCCTAGCCGTGTGTTAGCTTGTAGAGTCGCTCGTTCATCATTGTTTGGGAGCGTATCGAGATCGCAGTACGATGATCCTCATTGTGTGTCCTTAGAGACACGGTGCAGCACGGAGGTGCCAAGCAGATTACCTGGGTGATGATGGAGTTTTGAGATTATAGGGTCGAGTTTGTGTGCCTAATGTGGATGGACTCCGAAGAGTTGATTTTATCAGGATTTCCGCAGCATTATTGATGGAGGAGAATGAAGAAGGATATCGTTGCGTATATGGCTCGGTGTTTGAATTGTCAGCAGGTTAAGTATGAGCATCAGAGGCCCGATGGTTCATTTCAGAGGATTGAGCTTCCCGAGTGGAAGTGGGAGCGGTCAGTATGGATTTCGTTTGCTTGGACTCCCGCAGACTCGGAAGAAGTTCGACGCAGTATGGGTTATTGTGATAAGCTAACAAGTCAGCACATTTCATTCGTGTGGCAAGTCTCCTATCTTCTGAGAGGTTAGCTGAGATCTATATTCGGGAGATTGTTCGCCTTCATGGTGTTGCCCGTGTCTATCATTTTCGGACCGAGGTACGCAAGTTTTACCTCGCGTTTCTTGGAGAGCAGTTCAGCGAGAGTTGGGCACACGGGTTGAGTTAGCACAACATTTTCATCCCCAGGCGGACGGGCAGTTCCGAGGCGGACTATTCTAATTTTGGAGGATATGCTCCGAGCTTGTGTCATTGAGTTTGGAGGCTCGTGGGATCAGTTTTTGCCTTTAGCAGAGGTTTGCCTACAACAACAGCTACTAGTCGAGTATCCAGAGGCTCCTTATGAGGCTTTATATGGTAGGGGTGTCGGTCTCCGGTTGGATGGTTTGAGCCGGGAGAGGCTCGGTTGTTGGGTACGAGCGGTTCAGGATGCCTTGGACAAGGTTAGGATTATTCAGGATAGGCTTCGTGCAACTTAGTCCAGGCAAAAGAGCTATGCTGACGCGCAAGGTTCGTGATTTGGCATTCATGGTCGGTGAGCGGGTATTGCTTCGAGTGTCGCCTATAAAGGGCGTGATGAGATTTGGAAAGAAGGGCAAGCTTAGCCCTAGGTACATTGGCCCGTTTTGAGATTCTTGATCGAGTGGGAGAGGTGCTTATAGACTTGCATTTGCCGCCGAGCTTATCAACCGTGCATTCCAGTGTTTCATGTGTCCATGCTCCGGAAATATCACTGCGATCCATCCCACGTGTTAGATTTCAGCACTGTCCAGTTGGACAAGGACTTGTCTTATGAGGAGGAGCCGGTACTATTCTAGACTGCAGATTCGTCAGTTGAGATCGAAGAGTTTTCCTTCTGTTCGTGTTTCAGTGGAGAGGTCAGCCTCCTGAGGCATCGACCTGGGAGTCCATTTAGTACTCCATTGAAGTTTTCTACAAGCAGTTGATGCAGGCGGGTTGCAAGGAAACTCAATGAAATGACTTGTAGCAGCTTCTTGGTTTGATGAGATTAATTTAAATCGATCTGGAATAGTGGTGGGATAATATTCTCTACAAATTCAACTTTTAAGAAGATGAGTATAACAAGATTGGAATGCAGAGACTCGAATATTTGAAACAGGTTTTCATAAGGGGGAGAATAAACGCGATGCACTCTTTTTTCCTTACTAAGATTTTTTCTATGGGATTTTCCGTACAGGTTTTTAATGAGGCACCTAGCAGTGCGTATTACGAAATATGTGTTACTCTTTTTCCTTCTAGAATTTTTTTTCCAAGGATTTTCCTAGTAAGATTTGAATAGAGCACACTATCTTTTTAATGAACATCCAAGGGGGGAGTGTTATAAATTATATATTATATTATGGATGTTCATTTAGTACTCCCATTGTAAATAAGCTTCCCAAAGAAGCTTATCCATATGGACTCCACCGTAAATATGTTTATCTATTTAGTACTCTATTGGAAATAAGCATCCTGAAGAAGCTTTATCACTTCTGTACTCAGTTATGGATAAACAATTACCCCCGGTAGAAGATTATCCATACCGGGTACAATAAGCTTATCCTTTCGATACTCCGTTATAGATAAACATTACCCCCGGTAGAAGATTATCCATACCGGGTACAATAAGCTTATCCTTTCGATAGTCCGTTATGGATAAATATTACCCCCGGTAGAAGATTATCCATACCGGGTACAATAAGCTTATCCTTTCGATAGTCCATTATGGATAAACATTACCCCCGGTAGAAGATTATCCATACCTGGTACAATAAGCTTATCCTTTCGGTACTCCGTTATGGATAAACATTATCCCCAGTTGAAGATTATCTATATATGGTACAGTAGCAGCTTACACATCAGCTTGCTTTCTTCTATGAATAGAGGAGATTTTAGTTTTATTACATGAATTTGAAGTTGAATAATAAATATATATCTCTCTCTCTCTCTCTCTACTTGTCTTTGGTTTCTTTAACTTAAGTTCTTTATTTATAACAATACATTAATTTATATAATATAGTAAACAATACNCAAATACATAATTTTATATAATATGTAAACAATACAATACAATACAATACATAATTTTATGTTAAAATTATTTTTTATTATAAAGTAAATCAATTAAACTCTCAATTATCCCAAAAAATTCTAAAGCTAGGGATATTATCCTTTTAGGGCTCGTTTGCTGCGAGGGATAAGGGATAAATAATTCTAGGATTAAATTTGAGATGAGTTTATCCCATGTTTGGTTAGAATAATATAATTAATTTCGGGATTAGTTATTCCGAGATTGTAGTATTCTTTTTATCGAGGGTGCGATAGCTAATCCCGAAATAATTAATCATGGGATAACTTATTTTCCAACCAAACAAACCCTTAAAAATTATCCCATGATTAATTATCCGAAATTAGTTATCCACCTTCCATAGGGATACAAAAACACTATGATCTCGGGATTACAATCCGGGGATAACTAATCCCGGGGTTAGTATACCACAATTTTATCTCCACCAAACATGGGATAAATTCATCTCAAATTTAATTACGAGAGTAATTACCCCTTATCTCTCACACCGAACGCGCCCTTAAGCAACCCCGAGCACCTTGGAGTTAAACACCATAAGGGGTTGTCAATTTACAGTTTCTATAAGAGGCCGTCTCCAATTTTCGTGCAGGGTACAAAAGGTAAAACATTAGAGCTATTACTAACTCACGGATTATCACTTGTGACAGCCGGCAAGGAGTTAAATTCAGGTTTTCTAGCAATTTCCTTAGCTGATTAATCCGTTTATTTGGCAGTATGTGCTTGCTTCTCCATCCCCTCTAAATATTAAGTTTTTGTTTTCTGAATAATATGTGAAATTCTTTCAATTTGGCATGTTATTGATGTTCTATGACATATATTTATATATATCTTCCTTTGGGCAACTGCATTTGCACATAATTTGTCCTTTTGACATATTTTTTTGGCATCTGATGTTATGTATTCAAATTCTTGGAAGGTGATTGATGAACCCGTTATTTACCTGTATCAAATTCAAGGCTTTAGCTTCTGTTCTTCTTTATCCATTAGGATAGTACACGTTTGACCAGTCTCTTCAACTAATTCTTTAGTTTACTTTACCTGGAGACTGGATGTGAATACAGGATTTTAAGTCAGTGGGTACAGAATACAAGAACCCATTACTCCTTTTCGTGGCTGTGGGCACAAACTTAGCAATAATGTACATTTTCCAAATTATTCTGTTGTCTGTATACATAGTTCGAACTGAAGGCACTCGCTGCTAAAACCTTGCATTTGGCCATAGTGGAGATCTGCCTGCAGCTTTCTTTAATCTATCTACATCTGGCCCGTTTCCAAGGACACAATTTTACCACTTTGAACAAGATGGTAACGATGAACAAATGGATTGATATGATTCACTGCACCTTCAAGGAACTGGATGGTACGATTTGGTCTAGAATGGAATTAGTATGATTCGTTTCAAAACATTGGATTCTTCTTGGAAGGCGAAATGCGTTTTGAGTTTCTTACTAAAGAATGGGTTTGCTCTTGGGCAACTGTACGAGCTTGAAGTAGTTGAGGCTTAGTATATGTTGTAAGCATTTTGGCAGGCTAAAAATTTAGTTTGAAGTTCAAAGATCAAGCAACATCAGACAACTTCTAGAGGATCGCTAAATGGCCTTTTCTTAATTTTTTACAGTGGTAGTGTTTGGGTCAACTTATGTAACTCGCCACTAGCACATGTATATGGGTAACTCTATTTACCAAGATCTAGACAGATGGAAAAAAGTTACTTAGCTCTTTTCTGCTTTTATTGGAATTTGAACTCTGGTCTCCTATGGTAAATCTCCGGTTTCAACCTGCAGGTGCAGAATGCTATAAGCTATCCAATGCCAGTGATTTCATAAAGGTATCAGAAGTTGAAGATTACACAGTCATGGAGATGTTTATTATTTGTGTTGGACGTCCTGAACCTTATTTGGGAACTAAAAGTGTCCTGAAGAAGATGAATCTATGCCTCCTCCCTATCCTGTAGGGAGAAAAAAGGGAGAGATAATAATAATAAAAGGAAAAGATCTGGAGAACTATTTTTTGGACACTTCCAAATTTTGCATTTTCTATGAGTAAGTTCTATGAGTTGAACTGGTATAGTTTATTCGTAATGTTTGAGGACAAGATGAGTCAAATAGGACTCTATGTCTATTCTAATGCTTCACTAAGTAAAAGGAATTTGCTTTTTTCAATAATTCATGGAATCATTAGTAAGCAATGAACAAGCTCTAAAGGAATGTGACTGTACGAGCGCTTAGACACCATTACTTCATATCTATTGATGTTAAAAGGAATAGTCACATTCTTTAAGAAGCTCAAGAAGATCATAAAGCGTGAGTGCAGCTTAGTCTATAGCATGCTGGTTTAGAGATATTTGGCAAGGAAAGGTTGAAGTAAGTCTGGTCCGTCAGGAAAGCTCCAATTTCTTATTTGACTGAGGTGGAAAAGCCATTGGATTTAAAAGAATGCTGCGAAGATTGCAGCAAAAAAATCTTTTGTAAGTTGACGTTTAGCATCAATTTTGGAGGATGAGAAAGGCACCTTATGTTTATGGTGATTTGTAGAAAGTAAAGGTCATTCTTTAGATTGAATTGTTCAATTTCAATATTTTAGTTCCATAAGTCGCAAATTGCCTTTATTGGAGCCCTTTTTATAACAGGTCCTTCTTGAGTATAGGGGTGGCCAGGGTAGTTAGTATTACATGAGCAAAGTGTTGAAGGGTATGCAAATAGCTAGCAAGTAGGACTAGTGCAACAGAAACATTTTGTTTTTTGCTGAGCTAACTTTGTCATCAGAAAATTGGTATTGATTAGCAAGAATTACTCAAATTCATTTGGCCAATATGATTTATATTCTGTATGATAAATGATGGAACAATAGGTAGTAGAATAGCTGCTTCAACAATAGCAATGGTTGTTATTCGTTGTTTCACCCAATTTCAGCTAATATTGCTTAGCTAGTTTTTGTGCTCTCTATGTTCGTCAAGTCTAGCATAACGGCTAAAGAGACTCATAGGGGCCATCCATTTTGCTGCCAACTTCCGCTTTAGAGAGCTCATGTTACCACCAGTGAAACAAAAAGAAGGCAAACAAATGTTTTCCCTTCTCTTGCCTTCTTTTTCATCAAAAAGTTGCAATCACTGACTAAAGGTATGAATCAATTGTAAGGGGGGTATAAATAATATGTTCATGTTCTTCACTTAGCTAAAGCATAAGAGGAACCCATAATGTATATTTCCCCTTATTTCCTTAACGTATCCTAATTTCCAGGTTGAGCCAAAAGATCTCGATCGTGTTGGATATATGGATGCATTTGTTGCGTTAATATTTTGTTTTGTTTTATGCTAAGTTCTTTTTTTTTTTTTTTTGCTGTTATGCTAATTCTTGCTTTATGCACGTGTGTGTCTAATAAGGTAGTCAAGGCGAAGGTTGAAGATTCGAAGGCTAAATATTCTCCAGGTAGAAGTAATGGTGGAATGGTGGTGGTCTTTAGTTGGAGCTGCTGTGCCAGCTGTAGTGGCAGGTCAAGCTTTCAGGATGAAAAAGAGGAGAGATGAGGAGGAGAGGTTGAAGAGGGCGAGAGGCCGTGAGAAGAACTCTGATGATATATTTGTCTGTGAAAGAGTGTGTACTTCAAAAAGGATGCTCAAGAAGGTTGGTGCATTTTCTAAAGACCCGACACCCGATACTTGCGTTACCGTTTGTGGTGTTTCCGAGCTTGATGCTTGTGCTGATGCGTGTGCTCGGACTGTTTGTGTTAATCAGCATCAAGTGCCTAACTGGAATGATATCTGTCTTAAGAGGTGTCAAAGTGAGTGTCTTAGGCTCTCACAATCTTCTGTAGTGTCTTCTTAGCGCACTGCTCTAACATTTTGCTTTTATCATTTCAAGAATTCTGGGCTATTGACGATCTTCTAAAGCTCATGAATATTATTTTTGCAATATGCATCAAGATATTTGATATTGGTAGCTTGTGCGTTGAAGACTAAAATTACGCCGGAGACTTGATTGCCAGAACCACCACAATCCATTAGATTTTGAGATTGAACCTATTATATTTTTAAAGTTATGGGTTCATATACTATTTATTGTAATTTTAGATTTTTTTGACACATATGCTTATATGTACTGCAGATATAAAGTAGTGGATTTAGATAAACCCGCTACCCGAAAGCTGCATCCGCCCCTGTTTGTTGGGGTTATTGGGGGTGGGGTTATTGGAATTCTAGATACATCATGTATGTAATCTGAAGCAAAAAGGTTTTCTTTTTTCACGTAATTTTGTTACATCACTCAATTGACTATCCCTCCCTTTCGAATTATTTAGGTATTGTTATATGAATGTTGTGTTTCATTCCACTTTGTTCAAGTCCATTTCATTCTAATACCGAATAATTTCTTATAAGTTATAACTACATGTTCGCTATATATCTCGTACTTTTATCTCTGTATGACATCCCTTCAAAATAATTAATCATAGTACACGTGCACTGGAATAATTGAGCAAACTGACTTGGATATCATCGTTTAGAAAGAATGCATGGAAGTGTTAGGCATTGATATAAACCAGCATAACACTTGCATTAATCAGCCAACTAGCCATATCGAAATCAGAATAGGAAAGGATGGATTTTAATCATAGTCCTATTAGCTGAGTAGGGTGAAGTGCAGATTTGCCAAAGTTTGAGTTATCTTCATCTCTTTGAGCAATACACTCCTTTCCCCATTACTTTACAAAAGGAGATCATGATCCCTTCGAGAGAGAAGCCATCCTCATGATAGTGGTGAAAGAAATAGCCAAATTTAGTCCAACCTGCTCATTGGACACCTCTAATACAAGTGTGACACAGAAAAACTCGTATTGAAGTTTAAAGATCAGGCGAATCCATGAATGCTACAAAGGCGATGCAATGGCTGTTTAACCAAAAATTGGGATTTCGGTCAAAGCTTATTTTAGAAAAACTTAGGTTACTGAATCAAGTAGAAATAGGAATAATTGATGTAAATAATAGCTGAATAAAAAGCAAAGTAAATCAGTATATTCCAGTAGTATTTCGTATCATTACAAATGTTTATTCCTCACCTTTTATAGCTATTTCTAAGTAATACATTTTTCTCCTTTCATAATGGAGTCGTTATGGACAATTAATGACATTTAATGTAACGTTATAATTGGCAATCATAACTGATTTAATACAGATTTTGTAACGTTTTCTGTAATTAATGCCTATTAATTTTCAATAATACGTATCTATACCCCTTTTGCTATTTAGGTTCATTCTTCTGATGCCTCTTTAGAATATCAAGAGGTTCGAGCACCTATCCCTTTTGGCTTTCTTGGATTTTTTGCCCGTGCCTGCTAAAGCTCGTGCCTCTTCATCTATTCTTCGCCAACTGACATTCCTTTGCCAATCCACGTGTCATTACATGTCACCACATAATTAATTCGATATATTAATTTAATTCATCCCAATACAGATAGTCCCTCCACTTGCCATTTATTCATCAATAGAATATTTGGAAAGTGGATCTCATTAAAGCGGAAATTTTTGCCGCCATTATACCTTCTCTGGAACTGATGCTTTATGTGTCACTTCCATTTAATGCTCGTGACGCGTGGCATCTTCTGATTGGTTCTGCAAATTATCAGCATCTTTTAGGGCTTTTTTGCGGCTTCACCAATTACGAAGCGACAACTTCCATCATGACATTTCCATCATTACACCTTTTCTTTGACGGTTGCTTCTGAGTATAAATATAGCTTTTGTCTTTGTCTTTCTCATAAAAAGTTTCATATTTTAGAATATTCATTCTTATTTTCTTCTTCCTCATACTGCCATGTATTCTTCAAACCCTAACCCTCGAAGAGTCCCCATTGTTGATAATCTTCCTCTTGCTCCCGTTAGAAGTAGAAGAGGAGGAAGATTGCGTAGTTTAGGGTCTTCATCTGTAAGGGGTGTTTCTATCCCTTCAGTGAGTTCCCCCCTTCTAGAACTAGGGGTTCTCTTTCCCATAGACCTTCATCTAGAAGTAAAGATTCTAATGAATCCGTTCGTAAGCCTTTAGTGGATGAAATTGTTCCTGCTGAACTATCTTTTTATACTGATAGAGAATCGATTAGAAACCAAGTTTCTTCTATGTCTTCTTTAGATCGTGCTGACATTTACCCTTCTCAAATCACTGAAGGCCTGATCTCTGTTGTTCGTAGGGAATGCCATTGGAGGCCTGATTTCCCTATTATAATTCCTAATGCGAACCAAAGAATTACATCTTACTTGACCAGGTTTTCTTTTGTGTATACGTATTCCTTTACATTGAATTTTAAACCACCCATTGATCCTGTTATCATTGAATTCTGTCGCTTTTTTGATGTTTGTCTAGGACAGATTGGCCCCATTGTGTGGAGGACTGTTGCCTGCTTAAGACATTTAACAAGGTTGGCTAACTTGCCTTTTACTTTTTCCCATTTGATTCATCTCTACTCTCCAAAGCTTTTCCGTCATGGGAATTTCACTTTAGTTGCGAGAAGTAAAAGAGTGTTAGTTAGCCCAGAGGACGATAAGGACCGTGGTTGGTATGCCAGGTTTGTTGCTGCCCCCACTGTTGGTTTAGAGGGCGAAGAGAATGTTCCATTTCCTGAAAAATGGAATTTTGCACGTGAGTTTTTTTTTTATAACTTTCTCTATCTTTTCCCTTTATTTTTCCCGCTACTATTTAACTTTCTTTCTTTTTTCCAGCAACCATGAGAACTGTTGATGAAATTGTCAATTTTCGTGGTTGGGTAGAAAAGTTATTGAAAGTTGCTCCAATGGAAGGTAGATCTTTGAAAAACCTTTCGCACAGGTTTGGTTGGAAGGTTAAAACTCATGGCAAATACTTTACTCTTCTCTTTTTCACCTTTTCCTTCATCTTTCCCTTAGAACTTATTTGATCCTTCTTTTTATCAGGATTTCCTATTCGTGGTGTTAGTGCTGAAGCAGTCGCGACTTCCAGAGTTTCTTTGGAGAGAGCTCAAGAGATAATTTTTAGTTCTTCATAAAAAAAGGAAGGCCGCAGCAGTCCAAGATTCTGAAGAAGAGGAGGAACAGGATGGAGGTTCCTTGATAAAAAGACCGCGAGCCAGAAGACACGTCTTTTCAGATGATGAAGCGACTCCTCCCCGTTCTGTTCCCATAACCAAGGCTGTTGAAGTCACCTTGGTGAGCTCTGATGATGATACTCCTGCGGCAGCTCGTGACTCGTTGATCAACTTTTTTCTCGTGGGTTTGATAGTGAAAATTTGGATTTGGTTTTCGATGAAGTACCCCTTGCCTCCTTTACCATGCCTGTCCCTGTGGCTCGTTCTTTACCAGTTGTGACCGCTGCTGTTTTGCTCCACCCCAAATTGTGGTGACTTCTTCTACAGTTCCGCCTACTACCGTTCCTCGTACTAAGGTTGGTTCTTCAAGTGGAAGTGGAACGATGAAACAGATTATAGTCAAGACAATCATTCGAGGACGAATGATCCCAAGGGGAAGATAATGTAACATCCCGTACATTCGGACTAGGTGTGGAAATATTAAATGGGTATTAATTTGATATTTTATACATGTGAAGTCCCATCGGGATGATTATGGGTCAAAATAGTTGTTTTGGAATCAAGACGGAGAGTGAGGTGCATAAGATTTGACAAAATCGACTAAGTTTGCAGAAGGTCTATCTTCCATCAGGTTTTAGTGAAAATTTGTAAGGAATTGGGGAAAACTCAAAGCATGAAAGTTTTAGGCCTTCAAAATATCTTTCCAACGATATATTATGGATCCCGAACGTATCTTTGTGCAAAAAGTTATGCACGTTTTAAAGAATAATATGCGATATGCGCGCCGGTAGCGCAGCCGCGCTAATTTTGAGGCAGTGTTACTGCCATTTAGCGCGTTCACTAGCACGGTCAAGCCTCCAGTAGCGCGGGCGCGCTAGTGGGGGATCGTTTTAAAGCTATATTTCGTCCCCCACAACCCCAAAACATAAAACTTGCTCTAGAAGGGAAAGCTCTCAAAAACCCAACTCCTTAAGGGTCCCTCCACCACCCAAGGTAAGTTCTCATGGTGATTCTATGTTTATTTCAATTCCCCAACATCCTATTAACATGGGTAAACCCTCCATATCATTAGACATTCGATGGGGACATCATTGTTGAGAGAAGAAACCCTAGAACTCAAATTCAAGAAGATTGAACATCAAAAAGGTAATATCTTCACCCTCTAGTTGATTATATCATTGAATTAATAATTATAGACTCTATAAACGGTGATAGGTTTGGGTTGTTGATAGTTATTATTGGTTATGGGTGTTGATTACCTTATGGGTGATAAAGAATAATGTTGTTTATAACCATTTGAGACTTTAGAATTTATCTAAGAGCAAGATAATGGGTTATTGGGTGTAGAAACACCATTAATAAGGGCTATGAAAATTTATGCTACCAAGCGTTTGATAAAATGCCTAAGTGACCAAAACATGAGTATTATTGCTAATATGGAATCACTTTGACTTATATGGATATAGATTGAAGTTGAACGGGTTGGCGAATGTTGTATTGCGCTCAAGAGCAGGAAGTTAAGGTATATGAGGCTAACTCTCTATGTTTGGGAATGTTAATGATTCTCCCTACACTACGTTTCTTTTACGACGTTACCAATTGCCTCAGAAATATAGTTAAGCCTAACTCCTTTAATAGTTGCAGAACTTCTATTCTCTAGCTTCATAACTCGTTCATGACTTTCATTCTGAACGTTGTGAGCTCAGTGCGTATTCAATATAGACTTGGGTTTGATTCCTCCGAGTCTTAGTATAGATTACTCAGTATGCCATAAACAGTTGAAGTTTCATTGTTCATAATCAGTTCAAGAATACACGTCTCAGTCTAGTCCTATTCAGTATTCCAGTATTATGTAACTCAGTGTGATCCAGTATTCCAGTATCATGTAACTCAATGTGATTCAGTATTTCACTATCATGTATTGCAGTTTGATTCTGAGTTCCCGAATGTTGAACTCCTGTATTTGGGCCTGAGGCCGTAGTTTATATGCTTAATGCATACTTGGGCCTGAGGCCGTAGTTTATGCTTTATGCATGTTTGGGCCTGAGGCCGTAGTTATGTATACGTATACTTGGGCCTGAGGCCGTAGTTATGTATACGTATACTTGGGCATGAGGCCGTAGCTTGTGCACATATATATTGGGCCCGAGGCCGTAGTTTATTCAGATAAACAGGTTGTTCATCATTCAGAAGAGGGGGTA